TGTGTCCACTGGCCCAACAGAAGTTACAAATAACTGTAGTCCAAAAATAAAAATAAAAATTGGAAGCCCTTTTAAAATATCAGGCCCTAAAGGTACTTTTCAAAAACATGAAAGGATGATCCTTGTGGTCCACTCAACACTCCCTTTCGTCCTAAAACAGGCCCTAATGTTGATAGCTTAATACGAGCGACTTTGGCGAACAAGAGCAGTTGCTCCCTGTGCCTGCGTTCTCATTGCACAGACGGTATCTAATCCATTGCTTTGTAACGTGCTTGGGATACCCCCAGTATGGAAGGGGCTCCGTGAACTCATACTCTTAGTCATTCCTTTCTTAATAGCTGTGAATTCTCATTAAGTGCATCTAAAGTTACCTGGTGCGGCAAATCTGCATCTACTGATGATGTGAATTCGGGGGAGGGATAGCTCAGTGGTTTGAGCACTGGCCTGCTAAACCCAGGGTTGTGAGTTCAATCCTTGAGGGGGCCATTTAGGGATCTGGGGCAAAAATTGGGGATTGGTCCTGCTTTGAGCAGGGGGTTGGACTAGATGACCTCCTGAGGTCCCTTCCAACCCTGATATTCTATGATTCTATGAATGCAAAGGCGGACAGGTCCTTACTCCCATTAGGGGATTCTTTTTATCTTCCCGAGGATTAATGCAATCAAAAGCAAATCTCAGGGAAAAAAGTAGAGATGGACAAATCAACGGCAGGAATCACCCACAATCTTGGCCCATCTACATGAGCTTGATGGGAAGACGTTCTCAATACCTGCTGCGGGAGTGATGAGGCACCTCTTGGATACAGGTTTAAGTAACTCGGTGTTTCTTCCAATAATTGTAGTAATATCAATGTATACTTGGAAAAGGACCAGGAACAAGTGGAATAATGTTTGACCGCAGATATAAGATCCACCATGTGCCTTTATTCCAAAATCTACTGCTAGTTTGTAATCAGTCCTGCTTTTGCTGCTCATTTCATCCATATGTACAATGAATCACATTCCATCACGTCAATCGGATTTCCAGTGCACCAGATACACACTAATTGATATTCTGTTGTAACAGTCACAAAATCAGTGGTCTGATATTGCAAGTGCACAGTACCCACCTTTTCACTGAACTTAGTGGGCACTTCAGGTGCTCAGCCCCTCTGAAAATCCAACCCAGAGGTCACTTTTTGTGTCTTGTGGCTTTCTACACTGACTGTTCTTTTCATAGTTCCATTTCTTAGTCTGCTATGTACCACAAATAAAAATACATAGGCCTCTGACCATTGTTAAGCTTGTAATTCAATCCAAGGGTCCTGATAATATGTCTAAATGGATCAAGCTTCACTCTCTCAATTTGCTATGTTTATCAGGACCTCTCAGTAGAATTACACCCTAGTAATGGCTACACGCCCATGTGTTATCCTCTCTGTAATGATAAATAATAATAATAATCTACTCCAGCTTTCATGGTGACAGTAACATTTAAATAGGCCCCCTCGCTATTCTTATTGTATACAGTTCTTATATCAAAGTGCTTTCTCCCCCTCATTCATCTTAAGAGCAAAACCCTGCTTCTCACTCAGACACACTCTAATCTTTCCATTTCTATTACAATACTTCATTAATTTGGACTATCCCATTGCTTCACAGCTTTGAAAAAGAACAGAAATGAAGAACACTTGAATTTGATGTAACCTTTGCTAGGGAGGTGCTGTTTCTCTAAATATTTTAGATATTTTTCTCCATCTAGTGCACCATCATGTTTCAGTTCCCAAGAGCTGTAGATATTTATTCAGTATCCTCCTACCTCCACCATCATAAATATCTCTCTCATAACAAATAGCTCACTCTGAACATTACTTGTCACTGAAAAGGATCTTCAAGAAGCATATGCTTTGCAATATGGGGTATCCCCTGCTCTGTTGCAGGCACTTTATAGAGTTTTACTGAATCAGTCTCATTCAATTTAGAGGATAAGTATATGTCATCTTAATAGTTTTACCACTTCTTATTGCAAATGTCTGACTACTTGTGCTGCATACTTAGAGACTCACTGTTCCATTGCCTCTTCAAATGAATACTACTACTTAAACATAGAGAAAGATGTGTGCCTTTCAAAAGATTTAAGGATTTCAGCTGTCAATAGTGGCTTAACAGTCTGTTGCTAAAATCTCAGATACCAGTGATGGGTGCTGTATAAAGAACAAAAATAGATCACAATAACCCATTTCAAGCTTATAATAGATGCAGATCCAATAATTTATAAAAATCAAAATGTAATGCATAATATTAACTTACATCTTATCTCTTCATGTCATAACACATCATGTTATGTTATTTCCTGTCATATAATGTGTAACATGATGTAATGGAGGTCACACTTCACAAAATATTACAAAGTGAGAAATGATCCTTGTTAGCAATTTGGAATGTCAGTATCTGACCCAAATGTATTGTGGCTTGAGATGATGGGAAGGGATCAACCTGGCCACAATGTCAGGCAAATTCTTCTTATTTCCATCTGATTGTCCAGCAGATGCCCATTTGTCAGTTTCAAGCCCCATTAGAATTTTTTGGTGCACAATTCCTTTTTCGTGCAAAATAAACAGCATTTTCGTGGCAAGCAAATTAGTGAAAACAGGCCCTTAGAAGTACATAATAAATGCATATTAGTGAGATAGAACATTGGAAAATGGCCACCTGCCAGCAGCCAAATAAATTTTAGAGCCAACGCATTTTCTGTCATTATACCGTATCGCAATATTTATCAAAAGTATTCAGATAATGAGAGTGTTAAATGTTTTCTCCTGTAGTGGAAATGCTCATTGCCCCATAAAAGAGAGGATATTGAGATACAATGTTTATTAAAGTAACTTGATTTTATTAGGCTGCCATCCACAACAGATGCAGTTAACACAAGAGCGATTGTGGATATGGGAGATTTGTTAATAACACTAGGTAAAAACATTCTATTCTGAGCTTTATTCAGTTATGAAGCATACACAAACTTTCATTAACTTCCTTAGAACCAATTCTTTTCTATCCTTGTTTTCTTTGAAAGACATGCCTCTCTATTTTGTTAGCCAGTTTGTTTGCTTGCTTTTAAAGACATCATTAAGATAAATTAGGTTTAGCTTTAATTTACATACTAGTAAGCTTATTACATATAACAGTCAACAAAATATTATGGCTGTAGGTAGGTTCTTTCATAGAGCACCATGTAGCGGTAATAATATGTTGAGAGCATTGTAAATTTCTAGTAGGGCTGTCAAGTGATTTAAAAATTAATCGCAATTAATCGCGCTATTAAAAGATTAATCACAATTAATCGCACTGTTAAACAATAATGGAATACCATTTCTTTAAATATTTTTGGATGTTTTCTACATTTTCAAATACATTGATTTCAGTTACAACACAGAATACAAGGATTACAGTGTTCACTTTATACTGATTTTTATTACAGATATTTGCACTGTAAAAAACAAAAGACATAGTATATTTCAATTCACCTAAGAAAAGTACTGTAGTGCAATCTCTTTATAATGAAAGTTGAATTTACAAATGTAGAATTATGTACAAAATATAAATGCATTAAAAAATAAAAGAATGTAAAACTGTAGAACCTACAAGTCCACTCAGTCCTACTTAATCCAATTGCTCAGACAAATAAGTTTGGTTACAATTTGCAGGAGATTATGCTGCCCATGTCTTGTTACGTCACCTGAAAGTGAGAACAGGTGTTCGCATGGCATTGTTGTAGCTGGCATTGCAAGATACTTACATGCCAGACACAATTAAGATTCATATGTCCCTTCATGCTTCAACCACCACTCCAGAATACATGTATCCATGCTGATGACAAGTTCTGCTCGATAACAATCCAAAGCATAGTGGACCGATGCATGTTCATTTTCATCATCTGAGTCAGATGCCACGAACAGAAGGTTGATTTTCTTTTTTGGTGATTCGGATTCTGAAGTTTCCGCATCGGAGAGTTGCTCTTTTAAGACATCTGAAAACATTCTCCACACCTTGTCCTTTTCAGATTTTGGACGACACTTCAGATTCTTAAACCTTGGGTTGAGTGCTGTATCTATCCTTAGAAATCTCACACTGGTACCTTCTTTGCGTCTTGTCAAACCTGCCGTGAAAGTGTTCTTAAAATGGGCATGTGCTGGGTCTTCATCCAAGACTGCTATAACATGAACTATATGGCAGAATGCGGGTAAAACAGAATAGGAGACATACAGTTCTCCCCCAAGGAGCTCAGTCACAAATTTAATTAATGCATTCTTTTTTTAAGGAGCATCGTCAGCATGGAAGCATGTCCTCTGGAATGGTGGCTGAAGCATGAAGGGGCATATGAACGTGTAGCATATCTGGCACGTAAATATCTTGCAATTCTGACCACAAAAATGCCATGCGAAAGCCTGTTCTCACTTGCAGGTGACATTGTAAATAAGAACTATGAGGAGTCCGGTGGCACCTTAAAGGCTAACAGATTTATTTGGGCATAAGCTTTTGGGTAAAATACTTATGCCCAAATAAATCTGTTAGTCTTTAAGGTGCCACCGGACTCCTCGTTGTTTTTGTGGATACAGACTAACATGGCTACTTCTCTGATACTTGACACCATGCAAAGCACCAGTTCTAAATAAGAAGCAGTCAGCAGTCTCTCCCATAAATGTAAACAAACTTGCCTGTCTTAGTAATTGGCTGAACAAGAAGTAGCACTGAGTAGACTTGTAGACGCTAAAGTTTTACATTGTTTTGTTTTTGAACGCAGTTATGTAACAAAAAAAATCTGCATTTGTAAGTTACACTTTCATGATAAAGAGATTGCATAAGGTATAATGTGAATTGAAAAATACTATTTCTTTTATCATTTTTACAATGCAAATATATGTAATAAAAATAATAATATAAAGTGAGCACTGTGCACTTTGTAGTCTGTGTTGTAATAGAAAGCAATATATTTGAAAATGTAGAAAAACATCCAAAAATATTTAATAAATTTCAATTGGCATTCTATTGTTTAACAGTGCAATTAATCACAACTAATTTTTTGAGTTAATCGCTTGAGTTAACTGTGATGAATCGACAGCCCTAATTCTAGTTATAATGAAAACATTAAAAGAGATGTTAGAGTCACCTGAAGTAGTGGTGGGGAAAGCTGCACGATATCATATGGGTAACTAGGCTGAGAAAACAAGGAAGTTACATTCCAGTTGTGACCAATTTTTTTCATAGGATAAAGCAGAGGGGTTACCTTTATAAGGAGCTTGTGTTCAGAGTAAGGTGTTAACCTAGTAAACAACTTTAAAGCCAAAGCACATAATCTCTCAGGTCAACTTCTCACATAGTGAACCCTTCCTAAAGGAGCCTGAGTTGAGTGTCTGAGAAAGGATTTGAAGGTCTTGTTGGGTGAGACAAAGTCCCTAAATATACTTTTATTTGGAGTTAGTTAAGGATTTGTGTCTGTGGAGAATTAGTTGAGTAGTTATCTCTCAGAACAGAATTACAAAGCAGCTGGATTAGAAGAGGATCTCTTGAGATAAATTAAATGATTTTCTTAAATAGTTGCAAGATTGCTGATAAGTTTTTTGTTGTTGTGCTTGTTGGATAGGAAACAACACCACTTTCATTCTTTGTGATCCCCAGGAAGAAAGGACTTCCACCAATGCCTTTTTTTCCTAGAGAAGGATCTCCTAAGAAGCTAGTAAAGGTGAGTCTTTCAGAAATAGAGGATAAGATGAGTTCAGAAATGAGAAACACATATTGTATCTTCCCAAGCTCTGGTCTCTAATGCCTTAAAGTCCATTAAGGAGAAGTGAACTTGGGGAGTATACAGTAGGTTGGAGATGAACAGATACAAATGATGAGCTCCCAGATTTATAAACAATCCTATGCTAGAAGAAAATCATTCTCTGGAAGATAAAATTCAAGAAAAAATAGAAGACGCAAGATTTGTTCTGCTCATGTATGGTGCATGTACAGTCTTATTACTTACTTGTCAAATTCTGAGAAAAAATTGTGACTCATGAAAATTAAACATCATATTTGAACTCTTTAGTATGAATTTGTGAAGTGTGAAGATGGCCTGCAGGAGTTGATGGAATTCACAGACTTGGGGTGAAATCCTGGCCCTCTAGAAGTCCAAGGCAAAATTACAATTGACTTCAATGGGATCAGGATTTTATTCTTGATGCCGAATATGTGTGCTCAGCGGTACAGTGGCTTGACCAGTTCAGAAGTTTAAACACCAAGGTTTGATCTACACTCAGTTGAACACCAATTTAACTAAATCAGTTTAGATACTGATTTATTTAAAGCAATGCAACCCCATTTGTATGGACACACTTACATTGTATTAAAAATGTGCAACTGTGATTTAGTGTAAGTGAAATAAAACAAATTGATACAGGAGGGCACTGTACATTCCAAACCTGCTCAAAAGGGGGGTTTGTGCCAATGTAACCAGCACTGGATGCTTTGTGAATAATCCCTCTGCTCACTTGTGACATTCAGCAAATATTTCGAATGCTGACTAGAGTCATAAATAATGCCCATCACACACCAACATTCTTTAAATGCTGGATTTTGTGACTACTATTTGACCAGCTCAGTTTAATATCCTGGATTCTCACAGTATCTGAATGGGGGATAGATGGAGAAGGAACAGCTGTGGTATGTTTCAGAGGGTTGTGGGCAGCTGCCCTCTCCACTACCACATGAACTGAATCTTAGCTCCCTGTCTTAGATCTTATATGTTCCAGCACCTGTCTCTGAAGTGACCAAAGGGTAGTGGAACAGTACCCAGTATAAGGATGAGGAGCATAGTTTGGCTTCCTAGTGAACTGCTGACTGCAGCCTAGATTGAGCTTTCATGCTCAGTCCCATGTAAAGGGGAACACATAGCTGGGCTACCCTAGGAAGAGGCTTGGGAAGGAATTGTGACTCCATTCTGCCAATCAGCTCTACTGGTCTCGACCCAATCCACTCCCCATCTCTCTCCACTTGGCAGAGGGAGGAATATCAGGTACACGCCACCTAGGGAGCATTAATGGAGAGGAGAGGGAGTTGGGGAGTGTGTGTGTATGGTGGGTGGGGGAAGGGAGTGTCTTACTCCTCCTTACTGCCCTGAACAGCCACATTCACATAGGTCACCAATCTGGCCCTACGTTTGTAATGCACAGTGGTTATGGAGAAGTGGAAAGGGTAATTGTTGACTCTGAAAAGGTTTCTCCCAAGAAAAGGTGGTGTCATGAGCAGTGCCAAATCAGAATGATGCTATCTTTAATTGGCATCACAGAGGGCTGTGTGCGGTCAGCATGCTCTTTAGTTTTATAATAGAATCCCAAAAATTCTGCTGATCTGAAGGGTTTCTGACTGTTTCACATTAATCACAAGCTATACAGCAGAGAGTGAGAGCAAGTGGGCAGATACCCCGGTGGAGAAATACTAAGGAGCTCTCATTATTATCATCCTGACAAATCAAAAGAAAACCCTAAGGCTCCTAATAAGGGAGACCACTGGACTAAACAAATTGGACAAGTAGCTATATATGCATGATCTTAAAAACACTTGTTTTAATCAGATTTTATGAACTGCTTTTTCTGAGGCTGGCACTTTAAGCTGCACTCCAAAATTTGTGCATACAAAACCCGCATGCAACATGTGTAGTTTGCTTGCCTAATATAAAACTGCACGTGCAGTTATACGTTTTATTAAAACAACTGGTTAATTGTAAGTGAAGAATGGGACATGCTCACACATTTAGTGCACAGAAAAAAAACATGCTGGTTCAGTTTAGAAAGACCATTTTGAAAATGGCAGGTTTCAGTGTAGCAGCCGTGTTAGTCTATATTCACAAAAAGAACAGGAGTACTTGTGGCACCTTAAAGACTAACAAATTTATTAGAGCATAAGCTTTTGTGGGCTACAGCCCACTTCATCGGATGCATAGAATGGGCTTTGTTGCAAGGATAGGTTCCTGGGTTAGTGTTTTTGTTGTAAATTACAATACCCACTTTTTCACTGCTGAAGAGAAAAAAAAACAGATTGACTGAGGCAGAAGAGTACCGAGAAGTCATCTACTACAGGAACAAAGAAAATAACAGAACGCTACTAGCTGTCAGCTTCAGCCCCCAACTAAAACCTATCGAGCGCATCATCAAAGATCTCCAACCAATCCTGAAAAATGATCCCTCACTCTCAAAGATCTTGGGAGACAGACCAGTCCTCGCTTACAGACAGCCCCCAACCTGAAGCAAATACGCACCAGCAACCACACACCACATAACAAAAACACTAACACAGGAACCTATCCTTGCAACAAAGCCCGATGCCAACTCTGTCCACATATTTATTCAACTGACACCATCATAGGGCCTAATCACATTAGCCACTCCATCAGGGGCTCGTTCACCTGCACATCTACCAATGTGATATATGCCAGCAATGCCCCTTTGCCATGTACATTGGGCAAACAGGACAATCTCTATGCAAAAGAATAAATGGACACCAGTCTGATATCAGGAATCATGAAATTCAAAAACCAGTAGGAGAACACTTCTACCTCTCTGGCCACTCAGTAAAAGATTTAAGGGTGGCAATTTTGCAATAGAAAAGCTTCAAAAACAGACTCCAACGAGAAACTGCTGAGCTTGAATTAATATGCAAACTAGATACCATTAACTTGGGTTTGAATAGAGACTGGGAGTAGCTGGGTCATTACACATAGTGAATCTATTTCCTTAAGTTAAGTATCCTCACACCTTCTTGCCAACTGTCTAAATGGGCCATCTTGATTATCACTACAAAAGTTTTTTTCTCCTGCTGATAATAGCTCATCTTAATTAATTAGCCTCTCACAGTTTGTATGGTAACTTCCAACTTATCTGTATGTATATATATATATATATATATATATATATATATATATATATATCTTACTATATGTTCCATTCTATGCATCCGATGAAGTGGGCTGTACCCCACGAAAGCTTATACTCCAATAAATTTGTTAGTCTCTAAGGTGCCACAAGTACTCCTGTTCATTTTGAAAATGTTATATTATGATGCTAACAAAACCCAAACGCACTCTATGAAGTGCAATGTATATGAGGACATCAACACTTAACACTCAGGTTTACTTTTATCTGATACTTGCACTAAAGATAGAGACTTTTCCTTATCACTGACCATCCCCACATGATATGGTATAGGTTTGTACAAACAGAAAATTATCTTATCAGGTTTTTCTGTCTCTGCAGAATCAGATATTTCCATGTCTACTTGGTTCAGAGTTGAAAGATGTAAAAAAAGATCTTTTAGGTCATAAAATCTAGTGTCTATAACTCATGAAAAGGCTTTTGTATCTGAGAAGTGTCCATACCACCCAGGCTTCCACATATGCTGATGTAAGTTAGTGCATTTACAATTGGAACTGAGTGCTCTAGTGAAAGGGGAAGAAATCACTCTTCAAAAAGAGATGATTTGGAACTAATAAAAGATATAGAGAAATGGGGAAGTGGAGGTGTTTAGTTATAGAAACTATATAATATGTTTGGGCCTGGTGAAAAAAAATGAGTGAGAGAAAGAGGGGACTTTTCCCCAAATGCGGTGGAGAAGAAAACTGAGATTGCTGTATGTTTTGACATAGTTCAGAAATAATCTATATTTGAGAGAAGAAGAAAGGAAAGGAGAAAAAGAAGAGGAAGCCAACAGTGGCTGGTACACACAGATGAAAAGAAAAAGAAAAAGTAAAAGAAACAGAAAAAGAAAAAGAAAAAAGAGAGAGGTTGAGACAGAGGAGGGACTGAGAATAAGAGGGCTACCCCTAAGGAACAGAGTAAAGAGATGGACAAAGGAGGGTTTTAACAGAAAGAAAATCCACTCTGAACCATGAGTACATTTATCATTGTGGAACTGAGTGCTAAAAAATTGTCTGCTTGGTCAGTGATTCTTAGTTTTCTTTAATGTTATCTAGCCCGGGCATACTGTCTGTCGCAGTAACTCTGGTCCTTGTCAGCCTGTCACTACTGGAGTGGCTGTTCATCTGTAAGCACATTGCTGTCAGCCTTGCAGGAGACAGTTCCATTACTGTATGCTCCGGAATATGCACAGCTGTACAGATGTGCAGAGGTGACTGTTTGATGTCATACCCTGTGAAGCCAGTGCATCAGCAATGATACTACCCCAGGTTAAATTCTTTAAAAACCGAAACAATCATGAAGTCCTCTGGTAAGTGCCTTGAGATGTGAAAGCCTCTCCCTTGCTCCTCTCCCAAACTCACACGCAGACCTGCGCTGAACACTGCAACTTAACCTTCGCTTTAATTTAAACCGGTAAAGGAAGTTAGTAATTAATTGTAAATAATAACAAGCGCACTTCCACCAAGGGGCCATATCTGTGAGCATCAACTTATGTAGGAAAGGAAGAATCAGTTGATAAGGCAAAACTGTCAGTGACAGGTTTTCCCTACAACTGATGCTGAAACTGGTTTAGCTGCTCTTGTAGACAGAACTGGAATGCTGCATGCCCTCATTAAGTTTCTGGCCCTCCCCTCGCTAATTTTCAGCCTAGCTGTCTGGATTTTACTTTGTTCGTATAGTGTAGCGTACTGTCATGTTGTCTCCTTGACGTAGACATTTTACAGAGGGGAAAACTGAAACACAGACTAACAAGTACCTGAAGAATATTGATAAAGAACCAAGAGTTTAAAGTCTTTGACTACTTACCAGGCATAAAATATTTAATGTTTTTTAATGTAATACTTGTGTTATTTCCTTTTTTCATATATTTTTGTTTTGTTTTGTTGTTTTGCTGCTGCTCTTGCTTCTCCCCAATATCCATACTGTAATAAATCAACATATAAATGTACCGGATTATTTCCCCCTGAAATGTTGGAAGACAAATAGTGTAAAAGATCAGCTTGGTCATTTACCGTATTGGTTTAGCTTGATTCTTCTTCTTCTTTTTTTTAATTTTAAAACTGTAAACAAATGTTACCCAATCAGATCAAATGCTCTGTGCCTAAGAGATGTGCTTGTGTAGTGATACCTTTGAAGTAAATTTCATGAAGACCGATCACTCCTCCTTTATTTTTTTTATAGGAATAAAAAAGAATTTTGGATCAGACTTGAAAAATATATTTTTGCGAAGCAACAAGAAAAGAGTTTCCTCTAGCAAAAGTAGTGTTAAAGCACACACACACATGCATGCACACATGCACAGAGGAAAATGCACATTAAATATGAAAAAGCATTCCTTTAAGGCAGAAGAAAAACAGCCTGGCTACAAATTAGCTCTCGGCCCCATCAGGTGTGAATCTCTCTTGTCAATAAGTACCAAACTCCCTGAGATAGAACCACATGTTCATGAATTTTATTTCTCTCCTGCTTAACTCCTAGTTTCACTCTCCCTTGTGGATTTACTCAGGGATGATTTACAGTGGGAAAGGTGACATTAAACACGTCATTGAGCATGCAAAGATGCTGCACTCAAAGCAGCATATGCTTGACTTTGTTAAAAGATGAATGCTGTCAACTCCACAGTGCCCACCAAGATCTGGCCTTCTTTTCCCCAACAGACTTTGAGGAGGATTCAAATACTGGCCTTGACACTGAGAGAAATAAAAGTTAATGTATGCATGACATGATTTCACTTGCAATCTGATTTAGCAATGTCTTGTCTAGTTTGTCTCTGCTGTTGCCTTTCCTAATTTACTCGTTGCACAAAGAAAATAAATAAATAAGTTTACTATAGTCTTATTTATCCTTCTTTGGACGTTTCTTTACCAGGCAGATGGTCAATTAAGAGCACTAAACAATGACACTGTTTTCTCTGTAAACATTTTTTTTCTAATAGCCTAACAAATGAGAATCTGGGCTGCCATACTGCTGAATACCATCTTGACTTTCTAATGACAAAGAACTGTGTCTTGATAGTAACAATTACAGCTATAACAATGATGCTGGTACTTGAACAATGTAGTTGGAGGCAAAGTGCTTATCGGAATATTCACAAATAAAGGCTTACATCTATGCCAGAGCTGGAGATGGGAGGTTAAATAATTGGGGAGGGGGAAGGGGAGGTGTAGACGAAAGGTTGAAAACATTGGTTTAGGAGCTACAGATGTGCATTTGAATCCAATTACTTTAAAAGCAAACTGCATGAAAAGATGTCGTTTCCTTCTGTTTGGCTAATCAATAGGTTAAAGGGTTATTAAAATTAACATGCTAATAACACTAATTTTGATATTTGTCTACACTTCATGGTATTTTCAAAGCACTGTACCATGTGAATTAATAGCAGTGTTTGAGTCCATATAGCAGTGAAATGGTTGTTCTCAGTGTAAAATTTAGAGAAGTCTGATCTTCTTATTTATTTTTGAAAGACAATGGAACTTAGGCTTCAAAGTCGCCTGGACACTTCTGAAAATTTTACCCAAACAGGTTTTTATTTTTTTCCTCCAAAAACCAAATGCGTAGGGGGAAAAAAATATATTAGTCCTGGGCTCACACTGTTCCAATAATGAAACACAGCTGGGAGCATGTGGTATATTTATCCTGGGAAACCTCAGAGACACTTAACTGTAACAACATTACTAGGTGCCTCTGTCACATGGGGGAAAAACATTTAGGATCAAATTATAGTCAGCTGTACACTGGAGAGGGGAAGTGGGGGGCACAGTGCTCCATATTTCCAGCAGCCATAATGGGCCAACTCTCTGGGTGATAGTGTATGTGTGTGGACAGAGGCACTAGTTTTTCTGGTCGTGCTGCACTGGTTTGGGACCAATATCCTATCCCTTGCAGGCCAGCTAGCGCCAGGAGGGGAGCACTCAACACTTCTTGTACAGTTAGTGCTGAAGCAGTGTCCCTCCTGAGCCTCTGGGGCCATTAAACCTTATTCAGGCATGATGCTTCTCGCCACCTCTGCTCGAGTGGGGCCGTCTTCCCTTACTCCCTTTCCCACAGCACTCCACCAACTCTCAGACTCATACTTTATCCCTCGTTTATTAATCAGTGCACATAATTTCTCTAGTGCTGTCCATTTTAGATGGCAACCTGACTTTCTTTAGAGGGGGAAAGTATCAACAATTTAAAGAATCCTGTCTGCATTTTAATTTGGACCTAATAATCTGGCTCTAGCTCTTTTCATACACACTTGCAACATTTTCCAGGATTTTCTTTGCTCCAATCCAACACAATGGGATGTTTACCTCCCTGTCTTGGGTACATTTCGAATATAATAAGTCACATGCAGACCTACCATAATCAAAGTGGGATATACATTGATTAGCCTTTCAGGGGAGTTTTTCCTGGCTACAGCACAGGATTTGGGGTCAGGAGCTCTGAATTCTACAGTCCCATCTCTGCCCCAGAATTATGTGTGACTTTAGACATGGCACTAAAGTCCTCTGTGGTTCACTTTCCCTGTAGGAATGATGATTTTGCCTGTCTCACTGGCATGTCAAGTGGCTTTCATTAATTTACTATGTACTTTGCACCTCTGTGCAGCACCTTTTATCCTCTGATCTCAAAATATCTTTATTACCTGCTCCTCTACATTTTTTTCCCGTTCAAAAATAAAGTTCACTGGCATGCAAAAGTTTTAGTCATTGATCCTACCAGGGAACACAGACTGAGATGAATATAGACTTCATAAAATTAGAAACAAAATCCAGTCCCCTTAGCAATGAATCAGATGTTTTGTCTAATTATCCTCCTGTTTTGGGGTGAGACTTGAATCTGAATAGGTAGCTCCGTGGACTTTTCTGTGTGGGGAAAAAAATAACAAAAATAAAATAAAAAAAGGCCTTTCGATCACCGTGTCAAATGTAAACAGAACAGAGCTGGTTATTAGCAGAGATGTGACTGTAGCTGTATGAGCTCCATAGTCACAGTACTTCCTTTCTGGATTTCACTCAGCCACTGTCACTTGCCTTGACAATGAACAAAGTTAATGTATTCATGACATTACTGCACATGCATTCTCCATTCACAGCATATTGCATTGTTTACCTCTGTTCTTTTGTCGTACTGCATGTAGTAATTTGCCTTCTAGTAACAGCAAATTCCTCAACTTAAAATTTTACCATCATTTTATTTACTCTTAATAGAAAAAACCCGCATTTTGCAGCCGTGCCAGTGTTGCAGATATTACGCATTGCAGCATCACAACTAGAGAAATGTCAGATTTTACATTTCGATCAGATATGTCTTCAATATATTTTTATGCATATCCTTCATCTACTTTCTCCCACATGCTTTTCTGTAGCTTCTGCTTCACAGATTTTCTCCGGGGTGGCCATTTCTTTGCGCAGAATTGCAGAGGCATTATTGCAATGTACTCGGCCACTGATAAGAATGGAGGCTTATTATCCTGGATCCACCTTCCCCTTCCTGTATTGCTGCATGCCAGCACAACATGAAGCTTCAATGACTCTGCTTCCTCACAGAGTCATGGCGACTGCATCTGAGTGCTGCTGATGTCTGCTGAGTAGATGGATTGTCTGACTTTTAGATGATCTCCCACTCATGTTCATTATGGTGCCCTATTGAAAACCACTGCCAGATTTAGACCAGAGGACCATATTCTTTCCATGTGACATGCAACTCCTAACTCCCAGAGCATGGAGACTTTAGCTAACGCAATTTCCAGCCCTAGGCTACCAATTTATTAATGAAACAGCAAATACTATCCAATCTCTGTATCTCAACGTATTCATATGGGAAGCAGGTTATTTACTGAGTGGGTGGGTAAATTCATTCAGGAAAAAAAATCACCCTGAGCTCAGCCACATCCCAAACATTGATGTAAGTCCTTTAGAAAGACGTGATTCTTTTTCTGATTCACAGGTGAAGAATCCCAGTTCGACTCCATTAACTAATGCCCTTCTCTCCAATGCATCTTTGCTTTCGCTGGTATGCCACCAGAATGATATAGCTCAAGCAGGTTTCAGAGTAACAGCTGTGTTAGTCTGTATTTGCAAAAGGAAAAGGAGTACTTGTGGCACCTTAGTTAGTCTCTAAGGTGCCACAAGTACTCCTATAGTTCAAGCAGAACCTTCCTGTGTCAGATGACTACTTCTTCAAAATCAAAACCTGACACATTTGGTGGCAACATTTTTTAGGGTTGTGCTAAAAAAAGGGGGGGTTGTGTCATTACTGCCCCCTTCGGAGTCCACAGCAACGCATCTGTATGTCCCAGAGCGGAGGTCTGGGCCACACTGTTCTGAGTGAGTTTATCAATTCTGAACAAGTGTCATGAACATTTACTTAGGGCACTTTGATAGTTTCTACACTCATTCAGCTTCCTTCTTCCCTCCAGACTTGGTTCATCACACAGAATGTTTTTTTCCACTGGACTGTTGGGTAAACACAAAGTAAATTCTCCTCCATATAGCAATACACCGTGAATCAATATGAACAACCCAAACACTTTGATTGACTAAATAAAAATTAGGACATTTCAGGTGTCCTGAAAAAAGTTCCTGGACACAAGACATCATATGAAAAACCAGGACTATCCTGGTAAAAGTAGGAGGTATGGTTACTTTATTCATATATCAGGGAAGGGAGAAGAGCTAGAGTCATGACATCGGCTGGAGCCCTCACCATGCAGATTTAACTTTAGCTGAGAAGTGTTTATGGTGATGGGCACTATAGAAAAACCCTGAGATACAGAAATAGATTGAACATGGTTCAAGTGGGATACTGCAAGGAAGAGGATTTGATTTCTGCATCAGAGAGGGATAGAAGTGCCAGGCTGGAGGAGGGACATGGGGTTCTGGAATTTGAAGACTAGAAGGTAATCATAGAACAGGAAGGCTCTTCTAGACTGTGGGGGTAAAGAATGGGAAAGAATTTAATTCCCACTGTGGAAACGGAGCAGAGATTAGTTATAATAATAATAGTAATAATAAAAATGCTGCAAGCTAGCAAGAATTGAATTGCATGCAGTAATGTGAACTACCTATCCCTATCCTATTCTAGCCCAATTAATCTAGTCAAAAAGAGGGAACATAAAGCTGAATTGTTTCTTTAAGTCACAGACTGAGGGTGCAAGAGGGTGGGGACTAGAAGGGACCATGTTCACCAAAAAAGGAGGGCTAGACAAGGGGAGACTAACTAATAATAATAATAACACCTGGCTTTTCATCAGTAGATCTCAAAGCACTTTACAAAGGACATCAGTATCATTACCCCCCTTTTACAGAAGGGAAACTGAGGCACAGAGCACTTAAATGATTTGCTTAAGGTCCTCCAGAAGCAGAGCAAGGACTAGAAGACAGGTCTCCTGAGTCCCAGGCTAGTGCACAGGCCACTAGGCCATACTGTCTACACTGGACCAAATGTTTAGACAAGGCTCAGCACAGGGACTAAGTTAAAGCAGCTCAGGTAATGGGGTTCAATTGTGCCTGAATCTGCCGCCAGTTCAATGGTATTATATAGTGCCCATGCATAGGTGGGTTGCAGGCTACAGCACCTCACCTTGCAAGAAATCACTGTGCCATGCTGATGCCTGGTTTTTCTGAAGCATGTTTTGCTGATTTGTACCTGTCACCTGCTGGCAAGCTGGGTACCGGCATGCTCTATCACATTCTTCTACTTCTTTTCCATTCTGGCTCCCCACACTGCCAGTTGTAGGTATTGGGGTCCCTGCTGTTAACTACTGGGTTTGCTTGTGCTGTGTACGCTCAGATTAATTTTATGGCTCTTTGTGA